CTTTTAGAAATGTTACCTAGAAAAGAGGTAGCCAGAAAGGTTGAAACTGGGATCTGTTGCCACGTGGGTTTGGGAGTCACTGCAGTGAAAGGCTCCAGGTGCTCCTGAGCATTTTGGTTCCAGCTCCCACTGGGCTTGAAGCTTGATTAAAACTCAAACTGAAGGACAGGCAGGATGGGGCCTTCTGGTCCATGGACTACCTTCTAGCCCTAGCTTCACCTTCTGCGCTGGTGCCAAAGGTTTTAGTGGAGGCAGCGTCTTTACAGTCCTTGGGATGCAGCAGGTCACCCATTCAGGAACAGAAAGCCTGGGTGGAAGAGGTCCTACCAGGACACGGCATCTACACCAAGGGTGGTTCTGCATCCTTCCTCTCCCAACACAACTAACTGCAGGCTGCATATTCACTTAAACTTTTTGTTACTGCGTCAAGAACTTTATGCAAAAAATGTAAAATATTCTAAAGTGTAATCAGTAAACCCCATATATATTAAGCAGGCAGCCCAAACTTTTTCATGGCCGTGAATTGACTCTAGCTGGATCTTATCCATGTCTTTGGAGTTGAACTTGTAGTTTTTTTCTAGTATAGATGCAAAGTCTTCCCAAAATTATATCAGTGCTCTGTTTGCCATCTGGGAACATGGTTACTGCAAAAGTTTGTCTAAATTTTTCTATGTACCTTTGCTGACATCAGAAAAGTATCCTATTTTTTCCGCCAAAACCCCATGTATATTTATCCTAGGTTGACAGCAGTAATACGTATGCATATATATGGCTTCAGCCCAGAAGGACCTAAACTACCAAGCTCAATCCTTCATTTGTAACCTGTTCTTTGGAGGTGACCACTATTTAGGAAACTTGTCTCATCAACATATGCACATTTATTCTCACGTATTAGAGTTCTCCTTCTATCAGACTTCTTAGGTTTTTAGGTAAAAGTGCATATGTACTTTTGTCACTTTGGGAGATTTTTAATGTTATTTGAATATTGTGCTTTTGTTTGTGTTGTGGGTTCCCCCCCCATGCTGAGAGTAAAATAAAAACATTAAAATCAATAGAAACAAACGAAATTAAAAAATTCTGCCTAAGGAAATATTTTTAGGATTTTCTTCAGACAATACTGCTCTGTTGCTGTGACATCAGTATTCAGCAGTGGAGAACTGTATAATTGACTTAATGGACATTTTATAGCCTGTACATTTCCAGGGAGAATTTCCTAGACTATAGTCAAGGGCTGTGATACTCCAAAGGAATATATATGTGTCATTTTTCCGATCTAACAATGCCTAGTCTTAACATGGGAGAATCTTTCTTCCTGAGGAGGAATATAATATATGCATAGATCAGCCAAAAACCTCTGCTTCCTCCCCATGCTGAGCTGACAATATCATAATTAAAGTGTATGGTGTAAACGTTTATTAGTAACGAGTTTTGATGTGTTATGATTGATTTTCTTCAACTAGGAATGTATATGGCATTCAGGTTTTTTTAAATTCTTACTTAATACGTTATCTTTAACATTTGCTATTAGTGACAAGGTGGTTTCATGTCTTGTTTGACTTGTTTTGAATAAAGTGCTAAATGTTTTTTCTGAGAGGACAAATGATGAGAGTATGGACAGTCTAGCCAAGTTTCAAGCACTTAAGAGGCATCTGCTGGATGACTGAAAGAGATGCAACTCAGATGTAACAGAAACTTCTCCGATTGGCAATAAGATCTTTTGAGAGCCATGTGAGAGTTAGGCAGAGTTTCATTATAAAGTAATTGTGCAGGGATGTATAAATATGTGGAAAGTTGACACGCTCTGAAGCAGCAACTACGTACGGGTGCACTTGGGCCCAAATTGAATCTTTGAGAAATGGGTAAAACCAGGAAAAAGTAGGGGCTTTGGGATGTTTTGGGGTTTTTTTCTTAGAAAAGAAAGATTTTTTTCCACAAAGGACAAGTTACTAAACATCAGAGGATTAATTAATATACAGATATACTGAAACGGTATAATCAACAAAAATACCTGAACATCTTGATCACTGTTCATCTATCGTGGTGTTCTTTTATGTTCTCAAAGAGCATTATTGTTCTGCATCAGAAACTGCTGTCTGCATATGGTCTTCAACTTCATTTGTTTCAATGTGGATGATGGTCCTAAAGCTTTGTCATATATTTAGAAAATAAAAACAGTTCTCTAAACAGCTTAGTCCGGATGTTTTCAAAATAAATGTCAAGTATTGCTGTGGCATCAGCAACATGTGAAAGAGTATGAGGAAATCATACTGCTACAGTTCTTCAAAGCCAAAGGCTTCTCCCATTGAATTTGCTTTTAGCAGGAGGGCCTTGCAGAAGCTGGGGGACTTGTTTTACTGTACACCCATGTTCAGCAGCGACACAGACTGTTCTCTAGGTTTCGTGCTGATGGTTGAGCTTTTATGTTCTGGTGATTAATGGGGTGATGCGACGTGGAAAGACAAGGCTTTGCATCAGACTAATGGGGAACACAGCATTAGAAAAGACTGCTATGCACCTTCCATTTGTTATGGACATCCATACAATAAATACTAATATTGTATGGATTAGAAGTTGGAAATTCTTGAAGAACATATACTCCATAAGTTCCACAAGATGATTCCCAGTATGCAATAACAAACCTTCTCCCTACCTACTCCCTGCAATTAAATTTATGATTTGGAGGGAAAAAAAAAAACCCTTCCTATTTGTTGTGTCAGGTAGCTGCAGAAAAAGCATAGTGCAAACAATCTCCTTTCAAAGCTGGGAAATTTTTAAGGAGAGTTCCTGAAGAATACATACCAGGGCTAGATGGTCTTCTTCCAAACTGCAGAATGTGACCCAGTAGTATTACTGTGCAGCAAAAACAGCATTGCAAAGTTGGGCATCATCTAAAAGGGTTTACTGGGAAACAACCAGACAGATGAGGACCTATTTAGTTGGGATCTGGTGAACTAGCTGGATTAAATTAAGGGAGAGAGTATATTGGAGTGGTAATGGATATACTGATGACAGGCCTGGAAGTTAATGCGATTTTGTCAACTTCTGACATTTTATTAAGATTCCTATACATGATACTTAATTTAAAGCTGCAGTTTCTGTATACCATCTAGAGACAAGCCATTCTACGAGATCTTCAGTTTTTGCCTTAAATAATTCAGTTTCTCACCTTCGTGAGTACAGAAGAAAAAGCATGCAAGTGTGACTTAAGTGTGTGTTAAAATTTAAAGAAAGGCTTTTAAAAATATTCTTAGGATTTTTGGACCAGTCACTTTACTGCTTGGCAAGCTTGACTTGTCTTTTTAACATTTGACATTGGTGACAAATATCAGACCTCACTATAGAGATTGATACTGGTTTCGTGCAGAAAGTTATAGCCCTGTAGTTCATAGTACATGAAACTGTATTTGCAGTATGGTTCTAATTTTCAGAAATGTGTTGAGCACTTGCTAGCACACAGCTGTATCTAAGATCAAAGCTGAGCCTTTGGCTTGCGACTAAAGTAGGATTCAGTCTTTGTAGCAGGAACTTCCTGAGCTCATGGCATGTCAAGATGGCAGAAAAATGCAGTGGCTAATGGTTACGGTGTTATATTAAAGGTAATTTTTATTTGGCACACTGTGAGCAATACAATAATTGGTGACTTACAAAGACATTGTGAAGAAAAAAACCACTTTCACTATGCAAAGCCTCTTTGAAGAAAGAGCTTTGATGATTCCAGTGGGATGGAAAGGAGGTGGTTAATGTTTAGTCTAGTGCTTTATCTGGTATAGAATAATAAATTACTGGTTTTCAACACAGAGGAATGTTTACAGGGATATATACTAAGGGATAGCTATTGTTTGATGTAATAAATAATCATAACTGGATGAACAAAGTGAAAGATGATTCTGAAAATGGCACAAATCATTTGGCTTTGTTAAGAGAAAAGATGACTGAGAAATCTAACAACAAAAGGACAGGGTGGCACAATGGGAGGCAAAATTCAGTAGTGACAGATGGATGCTAATTTACATTGGCAAGAGTTGTTTGAATTGCTAATAAATATTGCTGAGTTCTATTTGTTGATAATATCAGGGCAGAGCTATAGTCAGTGAAAATGCATATAAGATACCTAGACCTGTATTATGCAATTAACCTGTCGAACACAATGCCACAAGATATCGTTTAACCCTGCAGTCTAGAAGGAATCAAGAAAGGCTCAATGATGAGTACCTAATCAATTACACATTTCATGGAATGTTAATATCCATTTCTATCCTATAGAGTGCCTAGAGTGAATTGCTAACTTAGAGGGAAAAGGAAGGTGTTTCCACAGATGGGTATTTTCTACTCCGGTGTTTCATACAGATACTGACAATTTTCTGGGACTGTGGAATGGTCAAGTCATTGGGCTGATCCAGTATAATAATTTTAAGTCAAAGACAACAAAACCTACCTCTATTCATATTGGTGTGTACGAAATCAGTAAGATATTTTGATTGTTTTGAGCAGTGCTGTCAAATATATTTGAGTAGATTAATGATAGGAGGTAAGATAAACTTGAAATATTACTAAATGAATTGCAAAAAATGCACAAATAGATTAATTTACAAATATGATAAGAAAACCCTAGTGGAAAAGGGGTCCTATGTAAACACATTTGTATTTTCTCTCCAAATTAAAATTGAAAAATTGAAAAGACAGTAATATTAATTATTTGTGTGTATACATATGTCTTACAGTTTCCAGTTACTAGTAGGACTCTGTGCCTTAGTAATTGACTCACTGTGGAGTATTTTAGGAGGTTAAGAATTATGTTGTCCAACCCATGAATAAGTCAGTAGGGTAGAGCAATGTTACATGTGATTTCTGCTTTCATAGTTATCTTAGTTTAGTATATATTCTTAATGTCATGTCCTTTCCCCAATTATAAATTGACTGCATTTTCTCATCCTAACTAAAATACATCTTGATTGCTAACTTTACGCTTTTTTGTTTTGTTTTGTTTTGTTTTCCAGTTTAAAAGAATGCTCAACCGGGAGCTAACCCACCTATCTGAAATGAGCAGGTCAGGCAATCAGGTCTCAGAATATATATCAAACACATTCTTAGGTAAGACTATGATGGGAGTTAACTTTTTGCCTTTTGGTTTTTTGTCTCTCTCTGGGCTGTGATAGAGCTTAAAAGCAAGTAGCTTTCCATATTAATTTCTGTTTTCAGAAGCTGTACATTTAGTATCTCATTGTTCAGTGTTTGAGCAGAGAGATCATGTTAGATTGATTTCCTCACAGCTCATTTAGTTTGTGTTTGTGGTTTCCCTGTGTATGTAATTACAGATAAATATTAATATACATATTTTCATGTAACATTACAACTACTATATTGCTACAGTATTAAGAAATTAATATATAATGAATTAATTATATACTAAAAAAAATTCTTCCGCTCTGTTTCCCTTATGAAAGTTACCGCAAAGAGGTTTCAGTGTGCTGGAAGCACACAGGCACAAGTAACTTCATAAAATCTCGTAATGCACAGTTCTGATGCTTTGGTGTTCCCTCCCTGCACGTGAGTGGGTGGATGGGTATGACTAAATCAACATCTGAACAGACTGCTGCCAGGAGAATTTGTGCGGCTCAAGAGCTTGCATGGTGGGATGTGAGCATTAAAAAAAGCCCGACACAATACTACGAAGAGTATGGTTCCTCCTCTATGGCATTGCAGAACTAAGCATATATTTTTTTGCTAAAACTGGTGAAAATGAATAAAACTTTGTTCCATACTGTTGATTTTTAACATGAAGATAAAGATACCTATCTCCAACATGTTTTGAGCAAAACACCATTGGTTCATAAAGACTGTTTGTGTAAGGGGAGCACAGCTGAATACATCTAAATTAGGATAAGTGCCAGTCACACATGTTAAGATACATCTTGTTTTATTTGTGTGAGATACCATAGCTGGTGCTTTTTGTGTTTTTTGAAAGAAGCGGGCTTTTGAAGTACATTTTATCCTGCTTGTCACCATATCCTAAATGGGTCACTTATTGTGTCTGTCCAGTTTACCTATGATTGCAGTAGCGTGCCTGAGTGCTGCAGCACAGCAGGGTTTCAAACAATAAGAAAGGGATGAGCCTCTGTCATGGAGAAGCAATATTGCACAGCTTCAGGAGCCCTAAAAGTCACAGTGTATAGTTGCCTGAGAAGATGACCCACTTAGGCTGAAAAGACAGATACACCAGTTTCTGCTTGCTTTTACTTGAAAACTTAAGGCTCATTTTGACAGGGTAAGGAAATGCATCTGTCAGCCTTTTACATGAGACCTCAGTCTTGAGCAGAAAGAGGGCTGGAAGGGCAATCACTTCTAAGTTACTGAGCCATGGGTATTGTTCTGTGGCTGCATGAAAACCTAGGATACTTAAAATTGTAGGTTCAAGAGGAATACAATGGGGAAAATACCTCATCTACAGAATTATTGCTTAAATAGAGTATTTTCAAAATATGCAGTCTTAAGTATATAGGTTCTGAGCAACAATGTGAAGAGGGAAAACATTCTCTCCATAGAAAATTTTAATGAATCTAGTTAGTTAATTTTTTTAATACATAATCTATCTCCTGAACATCTACGGGCTTTCTCACATTTGAAAGTTAGGAACATGTCATGAGGAAACAGGTTTTTCTGTTCTTCTTATTCTTTAAAAAAAAAAAAAAAAAAAAAGAAGACTAAGATTTTATCAAGTAGGGCTATATGACATGTATGAAGTTACTCATAATGACAACAAATATATTCCTTGTGTAAGAATTAAGGCTCCTACATTGAGTATAATAGTACGCAAGGTTTTTATTTTTCAGTGTCATTAACCTGTTATCCTATGAACGTAAAATGTAAGAGAACCTGCCAATGAGCATAGCACAATCAGGGTCAAAATGGCAACCTGTCTTTTCTGGATGTTTAGATGGGCGCAGGATCCTTTGCCTTGTGTGCTTGTAGTTACAAAAGCAGAGGCAGTCCTGTGGAATTCCTCTGGAGATCTAAAGTTGTTCAGACAGACGCTTCTTTTCACTTGAGTTAGTCTGACAGCTTGGCTTACGAACCTCCCTTTGATGGGTCTAAACTTTGTGCATATGACCGAAACCATAAACATCAAAGCATGAACACGAGTCACTGCCCCTCATCTGTTGTCGGTTTGCACCAGTCAAGAGCTGCAGCACTGCGCCTCCCCCGTTTTCTTGATTGTCTGTATGAGGAGAGTGGTGAAGTATGACGGGGGCAATTGGGGAACTCGGTGCCGCAGGCTAAAGCTTGGTGACATTTCCACAGTCTCTTCTTCGCTGTGATTTCTTTGCAATTTGAAGTGTCCAGTAAATGCGGTGCTAAAGGGTAATTAAAAAAAAAAAGAAATGGAAACAAGAAAGAAAGTGAAGAAACAAACACAGCAACAATCTGGGAATTAGAAATGGACTTGCTACCCTCGTCTGGTTTCAATGTCTTTATTGAAAATGACCATTGCAGGAAGGGAAGAATAGACATACGTTTTAAAGACCCCAAATTTTCTTTTTTTTTTTTTTTTTTTTAAATTTCTTTTGTTCTAGAGTGTTTTTTAAATCATAGTTTTTGCTAGGCTCCTATGTTACAAACATCTGTTCTGGATTTTCCTGGTTTTGCTGGAATATTCCTTGAGGACTAGAACAGGTGCAGGAACATTTCAGCAAAGAAGAGATAATTTGGAGGGAGTCATTAAAACTCTATGTTGAAATATAATATGAATAAAAAGAACAAAAATTAATGCAAATTCCTAGCAATTTTGGCAGGAGAGTCCTTTGTTGCACTACCTTAGATTACTTTGGGGACCACAGATATCTGCAATGCTCCACACCCCATACTGTTTCTGCAGCGATCAGCTGGCAATGGCCTAAATATACTTTTACTCTCAGTTTAATCCTTGTCTAAAGTTTTGCTGGCACATACATTGATGAGGTATGTGAAGTGATGCTGCTGATACTGCTATGGAGACAAAAGCCCACAGCAAAATGTTGGGTTTTAGCAAAACAGTCCTTTTGTCGGTATTACTTACTCTGGTTGGGAGGTGCAGAAATGCACTGCGTTGCTGGCGTGAACTGCCTTTACATCCAAAGCGCTTGTAGATGTGGCTGGCAAAAGGCTTTCTGAGTTGTAGAGTCTTAACACAAACAGGACCAGTCCCCAAGTATTAGGTCCTTCGAGTCCTGAAAATGTCTTGTGAAGGTTTACATGAGATACCGTTTTGATTGTTTTTGAAATACAATTTCAGAGAGTGTTTTTCCTGGAAAAGAAGAAATTTTAAATTTTCTTGTAAAATGAAAGTTTAGATTTCTGTTCAACTGTAATATTTTTATAATGAAAGGATTGACCCTCTCTACAGTGCTAGTGGTGCAGAAGTGGAAATCAGACAGTCACAAGTCTGTGACTAAAGCCAGTTCAGAAATAATGAGGCAATTTGTGAAATAGAGATCTGCTTATACTGTGGTATAGGTCTATTGTTATCTTTTCATGGTTTTACTGCTCTTGATATGAAGTATCTGTTGCAAAATCTCCAAACATAAAAATAAAAAAAAGGTTTGTGAAGAATTACAATATCCATAAGATGCAACTCAGCAGTGAAATGGACAAAAATATTTGTAATTCCTTTAAAAATTATTCTCCTTTTCTTCATTCTTTTGAAGACAAACAACATGAAGTTGAAATCCCTTCTCCGACGCAGAAAGAGAAAGAGAAAAAGAAGAGGCCAATGTCCCAAATCAGTGGAGTCAAAAAACTGATGCACAGCTCCAGCCTAACTAATTCCAGTATTCCTAGATTTGGAGTTAAAACAGACCAAGAAGATGTTCTTGCCAAGGTAGAGAATATATAAATCCTTGCATTTAAACCATTGAATTAAAATAGAGGGTGGACTTGTCAATATTACTCCATCTCTGCTTATAACCATTGATTTCAAGCTGTAGCACCAAAGGCTGGTCTCGCTTGAAATAGTACAAATTTGGTGAAGTGGAATAATAACAAGTAAAATCAGAATCAGGCCATAAGGGTTAATTTCTGTGTAAACAGGATTTCATCTGGAGATGGAATGTAAATTAGTATTTGTGTATGCATTAATTAAGCTGCTTTTTCATAAATAATATCTAAGGAATGAAGAGCAAACATACCATATACTGTCACAGGAATGAAAATATATAGCAGCCCTATGTCTTCTGAAAATGCACAACTGGTATATAGCATTAGAGCTATCTTTCCAGGTCCTGCCTTCAGCTGTATCAGTTTATGTACATCATTTGTGGTTTTGTTTTTAGTGACATTTTCTATGATTTTTGCACCAGCAGCTAATTAGTTGGCAATAATCTAAAACTGGCATAAAGTGATTATTTATTTAATTTTAGAGTTTTACATTTTGAAATATGCTTATCCGTATGTTTTCAGGAATCTCCCCCTTTGTTTGAAGAGTATTTCTGAGAACCAGGGAGACAGCAGCAGAACCGCAGCATCTCTGGAGGTTTCCTCCTTGCTGAACTCTGCTGTCACTGGGCAGTGAGATAGCAAAGTGTGTCAGTTCAGCTCATTCAAGATACTGTAGCATTTTTCCCTCTGGAGCAATCCATTTAAGGAGGCACTCCTTCCTGCTTAGTGAATTAAAATCTGAAAAGTTGGTAGCTGCAAATTCAAATATTACAAGACTAGTAGCAGCAGCTTTCCCCCTTTCAGAGTTTAGCATATAATTTTCACAGTGGCAAGGTTTGAATCTTCATGAGTCCACTGTTTGTAGCTGTTTCAATCAAAAATCACTGGAATTTGTGTGTTAGGTTTCAACGTATCTGTTGCTTCATTCTGCTCTAGGAACTAGAAGATGTGAACAAATGGGGCCTTCAGGTTTTCAGAGTAGCAGAGTTATCTGGAAACAGACCTTTGACAGTCATCATGCACACCATTTTTCAGGCAAGTAGCAGCAGCTGTGCTGCTTTTTGCTTACCTTAGAGATTTTTCTGTGCTTTGTAATCATAATTGTTTCTCTTTTCCTTTTCTAGGAACGGGACTTGTTAAAAACATTTAAGATTCCAGTAGACACTTTAATAACTTACTTGATGACCCTAGAAGACCATTACCATGCAGATGTGGCATATCACAATAACATACATGCTGCAGATGTTGTTCAGTCAACCCATGTCCTGCTATCAACCCCGGCATTAGAGGTAAACTGCGCTGAGGTGGGAAAGAGGCAGGCATGAGAGAAAGGGACATACTAAGACTCTTCTAAACCAAATATTAAAGATCTTAGTTTCTGCAATATTTTTAAAAGAAATCTTAACATTTCTTCATGAATTGTGCTCTTTTAAAGGTAATGAGCATCAAAGCTTATTTACATGTAAATATTGTGCAGAAAATGTCACATCTTTTTCTTTTAAATCATGGTTTTATACTTGCAGATTTGTGCTGTCGTAACCTTTTCCATTGTAACACAATGCATAACTTGTTTCCACCATCTCATTATTAATACTACATCCTGTTCTGTCATTATTTCCCATGCGGGATTCTCACTAACCACAGTTAGTGGAATTGCTTAGGAAAGATAGTGATAAAATGGGATTCCCTCAATAGGGCCATTTGTTTTTTGTTTTTTTCCTTGTGCATATTCATTCTGGTCCTGAAAGGCTACTTTTGTGTTTGTTTCTCAGGCAGAGTGGAACATGTACTAAATTTTCACTGGACTATCTCATTTTTTTTCATAAATATTTCAGAATTGTTTGGGAAAAAATAACATTTCATATGTTCTTTTCTGAAGAATTCTCTTGCCGAAAGTGCTTAAATCTCTGAAGTAGAAAGAAGTGGAAGAAAGATGGAGATTACTTTCCCTTTTTTAAGCACAGTTCGGGTCTTAGCATAGCAAACATTGATATTTACCAGTGAATTGTTGGGAAACGGCAGATACAGCAAGCAGTTGAAATTTTAGTAGTTCAAAAGCATTTGCTCTCATTTTCAAGGAGGGCTGCATTTTGACTCTTTTTCATAATGACCAATCTTTCATGTTTACTGAATGCTTCTGCTTTACCCCCTTCTTAACAAGAGGGTTATAAGTGCAACTTAAGACTGTTGGCAGGTCTCGATCCTCAAATAGTCGGGAATTCTCTTTTGAAAGATTTTCTTTATCTCAAGAAGGAAGATCAGATTATGTTCTTAAATCAGCACTGGCTTCACCAAACAGCTGAACCAGTCGTCAGTAGCATTTCGGGTTTTTTTCCAGATCAACTGTTTTTCATAGCCTTGTTTTCAGCAGAGCTTTAGCCAGTAAAATAGCAATGTCTGCCCGGTGCCACTGCTGACCTACACACTCTGAGCTGTTCTTGATCAATTATGAAAGCAATTATATAATGTGGGTGCTTGTGACAACAGGGGACTGGGCTGCATGACATGCCAGGTCCATTGCAATCCTCTCTTCCTATCTTCCTCATAATCTCATACGGAAGAAAAAATCAGTAGATGTTAAGTAAGAGGCCTTGTAGTCTGTCACCATTTCCTTTAGCATCATTTAGGAGATGTGTGTCTTTCAAGTATAGGACAATACGTAGGAGTCAGGCTGAAATTTTTAACTTCATTTTGTGCTATAGGTTAGAAACCTGGACTTAATGATCTAATCTGTACTTAATGATGTAATAAAAGTGGATTTATTTACAGACTGAAGCTGAAAAAACTTCAGTTGTTATGGAATTTAGTGATGCTGTCAGTGTGAACTAAGGATCGTTTTACTTTGGCCAAACTTGAAATATTTATGAAATTCTACATAATTGACGATTTTACAAAAGGTTGTGATAGCCTATGTGTAAAATCTCTTGAGATCCCTGATACATTTCAAATGTGTTTTCCTTCTTCAGATCTAGATTCAAAGTAGAGTCCTTTTTATTGAAAACACTTTTTCATTGATTAGTGATTGTCATTTCTGTTTCATGATTTTCTAGGCAGTGTTCACTGATTTGGAGATTCTTGCAGCAATTTTTGCCAGTGCAATACATGATGTAGATCATCCTGGGGTTTCAAACCAGTTTCTTATCAACACAAGTAAGTTTGATATTCAGTGGTTTTCTCAAAAATTTGCTGCAAGATCTGCACATAGCACCTGAAAAATACACAGTTCATTCCTTGTTTGCTTCTATCTGTACCTTTTCTCAGTAAATAGATAGGTGTTAATATTTTAAAATGGATATTGTTTTGCATTTCTTGTAACGTTAGAAATAATATACATAGTACCCTCTAGCAAGAATTACTAAGACATGAACTATAATCCTGGCACTGTTTCAATGTATTGGATGTGGTCTCTCCTGGAAATGAGTTGGTTTACATTAAATAAATAAATTTGTAGGAGAAAAATGAAGGAAGATTAAATAAAAATTAAAAAAAAGGAAGACAACAGTTTATGGGTTTATATTGGAAGCATATGATATGACCAAGAATAGCCATACATTTTTAAGAAATTTAGAAAACAAGTTTCTTTTTAGCAAACAGACTGACTGGCCCATCTCTGTCTCTCCCTGGCTGCTGTACTTAGTTTCTGATCTCTGCGTACTCATGCCTCTTGGACTGAATTTTCTCAGCCTGTCCCTGAAGGCTATGGCAAACCTCTTTTTTTGTGAGTCTCTTGCTGGCACTCCATGCATGGAGGAAAAAGCCCTAATGAAATGAGACCCTAATGTCATTTCCAAATTTGAAACCCAGTGTACTTGCTCTACATTTCTCCATGCTGTTCTCTGCAGCATTGCATGAACCTCTCCCCCCTCTTTAATCTTCTACTAGAAGAAAAACATGTATTGGCTTCATGGAACCTGATCATGACACATTTACTGAATGGCTTGTTGCCCCAGTGTAACCTGCTTTGATTTCAGTGGCGTACGTTACTATTATAAGTGGGTAGCACATTGTAGGTCAGTGCAAGTTCCGTCATACAATGTTACTTCTTTTGCCATCCGACAATTTCTCCTTTTATGATAACTCAACCAGAAATACAAAAGTTGAAATAATACTGTCATGGTTTAACCTCAGTCAGCAACTGAGCACCACACAGCCGCTCGCTCACTCCCCCCCTCCCCGGC